GATGGCCACACCGCAATCCCTTCTCCTCCATTCTTCTCTTGGGATCTTGGGCACGCATGCACATGCGCCTAGCATGAGTCTAAGCCACCAGGTCCGGGACTCGAAACATGGTTGACTACATGGGAATCCAGCGACATAGCCATTATGCCAACTGCTGATCAAGGGAAGCAAAATTTTATGAAAGTTTATTGAAGTGCCATGTGTGTTCGCCCTGTGACACCACCATTCCACTCTCAGGATGTTTCCTACAGGTCCCAAACAAGCTCGTGGGGATGCACGGGCCGGGATACCCAGGCAGCGTAGGCTCTTGTAGGACAAGAATGGGCACAAGGTAAAGGCCATCCACAGGAGACAGGCTGAGAAGCCTCGGAGCACCCTCTGGATGAGACGTTTCACAGCTGGAAGGTGCGTGGGAGCCCCTGATGCACTGGGAGGGAAACTTCTCTAGTCCCTCTAGGGCAACGGAAAGGAGTCACGTGTGGGGCAGTGTAGCTAGTCTGCTCCTTCTGTTTACAAAGAGGAAGAACAAGGACATGGGTCTCTCTGTGCTTAGAAACCCGTGTGGCCTGTGTGTGCCAGCCTCCCTCCTGTCTTCTCAGCACTGCCCAGCATCATGGCCACCCTCGAACCTCTCCTGAAGCCCAAGATCATCAAAAAGAGGACCAAGAGGACCAGCAGATGGTGTAATGGTTATGTCACTGGACTCTCACACTTAGTCAGCTGGGGTTCAAGCCCCAGGTCCGGCAGCTTTAAACTCACACCAGGCACATGTGCATGCATGTACAGGCTCCCAGGAGAATAACAGAGAAGGGACTGTGGCATGGCCAAGCCCCTCCAGGGTGATTTCTCACTGTCTCTGTCTCCCTCTGTCTCTATGGTGGGCGCACACACTCTATAGCAAAAATCTCTCTCTTAAAAAAAAAAGGGGGGGGGGTACCAAGAACTTCTCCTGGCAGTGGTCAAACCGACATGTTAAAGGTAAGACTAACTGGCAGAAACCCAGAAGTATTGACACTGGTTCCAAACCAGGACTCAAACCATGCAGTCAGCCAGGTGGAATCCAGCAGCCTCAACCACCAGTCCACCAGTTGCCCCTTACTCCAAAAATGGAATGCTTCACGAATTTGTATATCATCTTTGCGCAGAAGCCATGCTCATCTCTGTAGTGTTGCAATTTTACTATATATGTTGCCTAAGTGAGCACTAACTTTCGTTTTCTAAATACACACTGAATAATAAAATGTGGCTGAGGTTGAGGCTGTTAATTTTTTTAAAAGGGGGGGGGGTACCAAGAACTTCTCCTGGCAGTGGTCAAACCGACATGTTAAAGGTAAGACTAACTGGCAGAAACCCAGAAGTATTGACACTGGTTCCAAACCAGGACTCAAACCATGCAGTCAGCCAGGTGGAATCCAGCAGCCTCAACCACCAGTCCACCAGTTGCCCCTTACTCCAAAAATGGAATGCTTCACGAATTTGTATATCATCTTTGCGCAGAAGCCATGCTCATCTCTGTAGTGTTGCAATTTTACTATATATGTTGCCTAAGTGAGCACTAACTTTCGTTTTCTAAATACACACTGAATAATAAAATGTGGCTGAGGTTGAGGCTGTGAATTTTTTTTTTTTTAATTGTCAGAGGGTACATGTGCTCGCCAGAGAGAGATAGAAGGAAGAGGGAGATAGTTAGAAAGCATCTCTAAATGGAGTATGGCCACACCACAATCCTGTCTTTGTTTTCCCACCCTCAGGATTTTAGGCACACATACACACATCTAAACTTGATCCTCGGAGAATAATGGAGCTGCCAAGATTCCCTAGGAAGAGAGATTTCTGGTCAGATCTGTGTTTTGGAAAGCTGAACATAGCTTCACAGAGCAGGGCCTGGACAAGGAGGAGCAGGGAACACTGGCTGTGGGGCGCTGAAATAGCCAACATTCTCTGAGATTCTTCCCACTGGGAGGTGGGGTCTGTTTCTCCATCCCTTTGCATCCAGTGAGCCTGTGACTGCTCTGATGAATAAAACGTGGTTGAAGCGATGTGCCAGTTCCAGGCCTAACGTTTAAGAAGCCACCTTTTACTTCCTCCAACTTTGGACTCAACCACCATACTGTGAGGAAGCCCAAATGGCCACGTGGAGGAGAACGAAAGACCCTGGCCACGGTCTGCAGCAGAGCTCCAAACTAGCACTGACTTGCCAGTCACCTGAGTCAGCTTCCTCAGAAGTGGATTCACTGCCCTAGTTGAGCTACCTCGGGTGATGCTGCATGGGGCAGAAGTGAGCTATCTATGGCCACATTGAAAAATCATGAGCAAATAAATGTTGTTTTAAGTCACTAAGTTTTGGATCAATTTAGTACATGACAATAAATACCTGAAACATGGACATGGGATGCTGGAAAGGAAAATGTTGGGCTCCATGGATAAGGACTGTGCTGAGGCCAGAGCAGGGGCAGTGAAAAGCCTGGTTTCAGATTTGACAGCTGTCCGTATGTGTCCTCTTCCTGCTAAACTCACAGCACCCTCCGGCCCACCTTCCTCCCACAGAAAACAGTTTGGAGTTTCCCTGGTGATGGACGCAGCCGGGCGTAGGGGGCCAGCTGCCGGGCAGGGGTGCTGTGGGCAGCTTGCAGGACAGCTGTGCTCCCCGGAAAAAGACAGCCCTGGCGATGGTAATTGGCCATGTCCTTCCCTTAGGAAGTCAGCCTGACTCTTCAAATATAATAACAGAGTTTGAGAATCTAATTTTTCCCCCCAGGGTCACGATTTATTCTGTTGTCAATGCATCACAGGGGGAAGAAAGCTCTTACCACCAAGGATCTGTCAACCTGATTTCCTCTTAATTAGTGTTTATGTCCATTTTCCTACCAGATCTATGCCTTCTTTAAAAAAAATATGGAGCTCGCAGGCTTTTTCATGTTCCCTCAAGCACAGCTTGACCCCACAGACTTACCTCCAGAAATGAGGGAGACCCATGGACATGCTGCTCCTGAGTGGCTTGTAGTCATGGCTGAGCACTCTGCTTGGGAGAACGGAGGTGCTTCATCCCCCACACAGCCCCGGCACCTAGGGTTGCACCATATTCCACAGCACTGGGTTAAATCTGAACTTCAAGCCAGCAATGAAGAACTTTCAGTATTATGAATCCCGGATAGCACATGGGACATACTTATACTCAAAATACACTAATTTGAAATTCAAATGTAATGTGCATTCTGTATTAAAAAAAAAAAAAGAGCCAGAAGACGTGTGCCTCACCAGAGAGAGACAGTATGTGAAAGAGAAAAAAAAAAAAAAAAGGCAAGAAAGAACCCCTATAGGGCAAGATCATACTAAAATCTATTCTCTTCTGGATTTTGGGCACACATGCGTATGCCCCTGGTGTGTTTCTCAAGCCCCTGGGTCCAGGACTTGAACCATGTGGCTGGTCATGTGGGGTCCAGCTGCCTTAACCACCAGGCAATAGAGCCAGCCTTAAAAACTTTATAAAAAGTGATATGATTATGGTCAATTTTCATTCTTTTTTTAAAAATTACTTACTAATGACTTATTTGTTTAAATTTGCTACAGGGTGTGTGTTCTCACTAGAGAGAGAGAGGGAAAGTGAGAAAGCACCCCCAGGAGAGACGGCCACGCGGCAATCCCTTCTCCTCCATTCTCCTTGCAAGATTTTGGGCATGCTCGCACATGCACCCAGCATGGTTTTTTTAAGCCATTGGGTCTGGGACTCGAACCACATAGTTGGCTATGTGAGATCCAGCCACCTTAACCATTCTGCCACCTAGCTGGCCCCATTCTGTTTTATATTTTCTTGCCTTTTGCAAATTATAATAGCTTTAACAGTAAGCATTTAAAATAAAGCAAGGCAACATTGAGACTGCAATTCCATTAATACAATCGCAGGCCCAGTTAGCACTCAAAAGAGAGGGGTCCTGAAAGGCCTTTTCTTCCCAGTACCCCCTGAAGAGCTGTAGAACTGCCTGCCTGGAATTAGACTGATTTTCCTCAGTCCATACCCGCTCAAGGTGCTGGTTGGTCGATCTACCCCACCCCACACACGTACTTTAATGCTGCAGAGACCCTCTGAAGTGGGGAGCTTACAGCTGAGGAACAGCTCAGAATGCCAAGGAGGGATTCGAACCTGGGCATTTCCTGGCTCTGTGCTGGGTTCCTTGGCTGACTTTTGGATAGATAAAAGGTTAGTTATCACATTCCAGCTTTGACTCATCTGTGCTGTGGGATGATGGGTGGTAGAAGGTGCATCCCATCAACTCACACCCAAAACATCACTGGCCAGTGAGCTTCCCAGGGGCGACACTGCTGGCAGGGTGGCTGACAACCCACCTCCGGAGAGAACTTCCCTTTAAGGAGGTAACCGGCAATATCGCCATGAGGGCGTCAATCTGGCAATTAGCTCCTCTCAACCCCTCTTCCTGCCCAGCTATGTCAATCCTGGTGGTTCACACCCCCTGCTGCCTCTACCTGTTGTGATCTGATGCCTGTCCACCGAGCCTCGTGACCTGGGGACAAGTCAGAGGGATGCTGTCCCCTATGACGGACAGGAAGCTGAAGTTCAGGATGGCAGCCAGCTCGGCCCTGGGGTCAGCAACTGAAATTCGCTCAGTTCTGGATATACAGTGCCATGAAGGGAGGATCCCAGACAGGCGGGGGAGAAGGGAGCAGACAGCGAGCAGCCCCGCGAAACCATTCAGCTCAAGTCCAAAAACAAGCGCTGCTGTTCGAGTCCAGTGGCGGGGGTGGGGTGGGGGTGGTCAGGTACTGGCAGAAGGAATGGCAGGGGCAGCAGGGGCGGCGGGCAGCTGGCCCCTAAATGGGGAGCCTATTTGTGGACATACAACCAGCTCAACTCTTACTTGTGCACCTTTGGGCTTGTGGCTTATACTTCCCAAGAAAGGGCTGCTTAACACTCACAGAGTTCAGGGTCTCTTAGCGCATTTTGGGTTCCTGAGAAGCAGTTTGGAGCACAGCACACGAGACTTTCCTGTGTGACTCAGGCCTCCACGTGGAAATGTCCCCTTACTTCCAGCACTGCCCCTCTCTGCTCTGTCAGCCTCCAGCCTTCTGCCCTCTCCCTGGACACCCACATCCCGTTAGCCAGATGGGTTCCCACATGGCCCTAGGGTGCTGTTGACAGGCCTGACTCAGGGCAGGAACCAGGAGCAGCTGCCCAGGGCCTGTAGATGAGTCATGGCTTTCCGCCTCAGCCTCTCCCAACTGCTGGCTGGCAGCCATGGGCCAGGCCTTTAGCAGCCGCCTCCTGGTCCAGGTTCAGCTGCCCAGAGAACACCCAGTTGGGTGGATTACCCAGGGCACAGGTGGATGCCGGGACTCCCAGGAGGTGGGTGGGAGAGTGGAGACTTCCCGGCGCAATGGAAGAGTGCATAGCCGGTTGACCCCAACAGAGAAAGCAGCTTGTGAGCTAACCAAAGTCTGTCAGGGACAACGTTCCCGTCCACTCGCCCACGTGACAGGAGAGCTGAGCTTGCACCAGACTAGCTGATCTGGGATGTGTGGCTGTGGGGGCTTGAGGAGAGGCCCCAGTGGCCCTCAAGGTGCTAGTGGAGTGTGTCAGTTCCCAAACGCTGACTCAGCACCTTTAAAAGATGCAGCTCTCAGAGCCAGCCGGTGGTGTGGTGGTTTAAGGGCGCTGGACTCCCACATGGCTTACCACGGTTCAAGTCCTGGACCTGGCGGCTTGCTTTCTCACTTTCCATCTCTTTCTCTTTCTCACTCTGTCCCTATCTGGTCAAATTTAAATAATTTTTTAAGAATGCAGAGCTCTGACTTCTAGTGAGCCCAGGTTCCTCCAACCCATCTCCCTGGGAGGTGACAGTGTCAGAGAGGCACTCTTTACCAGCTCTGTGGGGCCCATCCCTACCACTTGTCCCAGTGCGGGGGTGGGGGGCACTGTGGGCAGTGCTGTTTCTGGCTACTCTCATCCCAGGAAGGCCAGCAGCCAACTCGTGTGAGTATGAGATAGCCACACCCCACTATAAATACACACATCACAAACCAAATAATTCCGCCCCACTGAACCCAAACTAAATGCATCACCAAGCCAGCTTCTCCTCAGAGACCCAGGAGTGTCTGCAGCTCTCTAACACCACTTTGCATGGAGGGAAACATGAGGAAATTGGTGTGAAAAGAGACGGTTCTTTTTTTCTTTTTTAAAAAATATTTTTAGTACTTCTTTTTTTTAAAAAAAAAGTATTTATTTTTAATTTTATTTACTAGCATTATTCTTCAATTTTGACCAGAGAGAGAGAGAGACGAAGAGAAAGGGAGAGTGAGACAACAAGCTGCCAGGTCTGGGAGTTGAACCGTGGTTGGCCATGTGGAAGTTCAGCGCCTCAACCACCATACCACCTGCTGGCCCCAAAAGATAGTTTTTAACTGATTGTAGGTATGGCGTACTTTCAAATTTTACCAAAGTTTGGCAACAACAAAAACACATTACCTTGGAGCCCTGCCTGAGGCAGAGCCTTCTAACTGCTATCTTAGGCCCACGGTGCCTTGCTAACTGAAATACCTGAGA